AGGTGTGTGGCCAGGACAAGCGTGGCTGCAGGCGTACCCCAGCCAGGGATCTGCACTGACTCTGGAGGCTCCTGCACACCCACCAAAGCCAAAGGACCACCCAGGAAACAACTGCACAGGCAAACAAGCTTCAGCCAGAAGCTCACCATACCATTGGCCATAGCCAAGGACCCACCTGGAAAAGAGCTATACAGGCACACAAGCAATACCCAGAGGCTCACCCCAATGCCATTGATAAGTGAGAGGAGACCTTAGCCAAAGCCTGCACAGACAACAGGAACTGGGGTACACAGCCCACAGCCAAAGACCCTGACAGACAATAGCTATATAGGGGGCCCAGCAAGAGGCACGCCTAGATACCATCCCAAATGTACACAGACCCCAGCCAGAAGCCTACCCAGACAACAGGTCACCTCAGGGATTCAGAAGGCCACCACTCTGAACCCAGGAACTGGTGTACTGGTGAGCAGCAGAGTACAGGCTGCTCCATGGCTTGCTGAGAATTCAAGACCACTGAGACAGCAAAAAGTCACCTCAACAAAGACACAGCAGGCTGCATCTGCTGAAATGAGAAGACATGTAAATAAGTTTCAAAACCAGACTTCTAGATCACCTAAGGCAACCCCAAAGGGAAAAGAGATGGAACAATCTGATACTCAACCACCTGGACTCCCTGAACTGGCAACAAAAGAGGACCTGGAAATATTGAAATGAGAAATAATTTCTCAGATAACAGCAGAGATTATGCCCATAGTACAAGACATGATTAATAAATCTAAAGCAGACATAGATAAAAAAAAATAGAGGAGCTAAAGAACATGTTGGAATCCCAACACAGAGACAAATGGAATCCATAAAAAAGATGGAAACAGATTTCCAGGAGATTAAAAACTCCATCGAATGTTTACACAGCAGAATGAGCCAATGTGAGGACAGAATTTCAGACACAGAAGACAGGATTGCAATTAGTGACCAGGAAAAGAAAAATTTCTTAAAAATAGTAAGGGACAATGAGAAATCAAGCAAGCAGCTGCTAGACAATGCAAAGAAGAATAACATAAGACTGATTGGAGTCAATGAAGAAACAGGAAAGAGTGCAGACAATATAAAAAAAAATGTTCACAGAAGTGATGGCAGAAAACTTCCCATATAGGGGGAAAGGAGTTAACATAGAGATAAGTGAGACATATAGGACTCCAACTAGCTGAGATCAAAAATAATCTACACATAGGCATATAATAGTTAAGATTCCAGAAATCCAACAGAGGAACAAAATTCTACAACCAGTTAGAGAAAAGAAACCAATCACATACAAAAGAAAGACCATCAGGATCACAGAAGACTTCTCAACACAAACGCAGAAGGCAAGAAGAGCTTGGAGTGATGTATTTCAAGCCCTAAAGGAAAACAACCTCCAGTCCAGATTGATGTACCCTGCAAAACTATCTTTCAAAATTGATGGAGAAATAAGATACTTTCATGATAAAGCGCACCTCAGGAACTTCATGAATACTAAACCGGCACTCCAAAAAATTTTAGACAATACCCTAGGAAAAGACAATAAGGATCACAACCACAGGAAGTGCAGCAGAATGAATCCATTAGGCCAGACAAGAAATTAAATGCAAAAGGGGAAAATGCAACAACAGGAAAAGTTCTTGACAAGAATAAGTCAATACATATCATTTATAACCACCAATGTTAATGGTCTCAATTCACCAATTATGAGGAATGGACTGGCAAAAAGGGTCAAGAAGCAAGATCCAACAATATGCTGAATACAAGAAGCACACAATTCAAAGAGAAACTCATAGACTGAAAGTTAGAGGGTAGAAAACAATACTCCATGTGACAGGAACCCAAAAATAAGCAGGAGTATCTATCCTCTTTGCACATCAAGTGGATTTCAAACCGACACTGATTAAGAGAGATGAAGAAGGACACTACATCCTTGTAAAG